ATCCTCTCTTTTTTATAAGAAATACGAACAGATAATATGAATATGATAATAATTTAGATTTTGAAATGAATATTATGAATAATATTAAAATGTAAATGAAATGAATTTCAAAAAATTTAATGCAAAACTTAAAAATGAATTGAATTGATCTCAAGAGAGGGAAAATTCTTTGCTAAAGATAAAAGCCCAGCGCTAAAAATACATTAAAATTTTGGAAATACTGCATGCAGATATTAAAAAACCTTTTTTTTTATTAAATTAAAATGTTCAACAAAGCTTTTCTGTCATATGATATACTTTAATATAGCTTTGAACGAAATTGATCAAAAATTGTTCATTCTATTTTCCCATTTTAAATTTAGGAGAACTTCATCTAATTAATCTAATCAATTTAACTAACTTTTAGCTTGTTCTTAATTTACTTTAATACTTGTTGTGCTTCATAATTTTATAATTGAATCGAAAAGCCGTATCAAATCCATATATAGTATAAATATTTTACCTTTAGTTGAGCTTAATCTGAGTTTGGAATATATTGCAATAGCAATAGGCGTAAAATGAGATGCTTGGAATCAATTTGTACAGTTCCAATATGGAACGAATGTAACTAGGAATGAATAATCGATCAACGATGGACTCTTACTGTTTGACAAAGTAAATTTACTTCAGTTTGCGCAGAATGGTCAAGATATCGCCTTCGTTGTTCGGGATTGTCTTTATGGCACTGGCTGCCAGGGAATTGGTTCATGGCGAATCAATAAATTTAAAACTTATTAAAGCCGTACTTAAGGACAATCTTGGAGGCAATGCCGCCTTTTCGCCTCGAATCCTGATAGACACCATGAAAGGATTTGCTGATATATCCGGCGGAAACACAGCTGCAGAAATTAATACAGTTATGCTGTTTAAAAGTAGCAACCTGCTACGTGGCAGTAATTACAGTTATACGGATTATACTGACGAAGTAAGGGATGAATATGACGAAACTAGAGAGTCCTACAGATTTAGAAACTCCAATGGGAATCTTAGATTCACGGACTATACTGACGAACTAAAAGACGATATAACTGACGAGTTTGACACAACTAGAGAACTAACTAACGAATTAACTGAAGAGTTTGACAGAACTAGAGAACTACCTGAAGAATTAACTGACGAATTTGACACAACTAGAGAACTAACTAACGAATTAACTGAAGAGTTTGACAGAACTAGAGAACTACCTGAAGAATTAACTGACGAATTTGACACAACAAGAGAACTCCCTGAAGAATTAACTGACGAATTTGACACAACTAGAGAACTACCTGACGAATTAACTGAAGAGTTTGACAGAACTAGAGAACTAACTAACGAATTAACTGACGAGTTTGACAGAACTAGAGAACTACCTGAAGAATTAACTGACGAATTTGACACAACTAGAGAACTAACTGACGAATTTGACAGAACTAGAGAACTAACTGACGAAATAAATGAAGAATTCGACTATACTATCGAGTCTGACCAATTTGGTGATTTGGATGAAACTAAGTCTCGTGCTATGTCAGACGTTACTCCCATTAACTCAGCTATATTTGCCTCTAAAGAAGTTCTACCTGCTCTGGGAAATACGGCGAAAGAAGTTAACTTTAACGACCCCCAAAATGCTTTACAAACTATCAATGATTGGGTAGCACAGCAAACTAAACGCAAAATAAAGAATTTCATCGATAGAGTTGAAGCAAACATGAAAATGATCTTGATCTCTACGGCCTCCTATGAAGTAGAGTGGAAATATAAATTTAATCCGAAATTGACGAAGAAGGAGAACTTCTATACGAGCCTAACTCAAACTACTCCCGTCGATATGATGAGCATACGCGGTAGATTTTATCGCAGATATATCAAAAGTATAGACGCCGACGTTTTACAACTGCCATTTGCAAAAAACGAAATTAAAATGACAATTCTATTGCCAAGGAAAACTAATGGCATAGACAAGCTTCTTGAGAGTTTGACGACGCTCGAGCTGAAAGATTTAAAGTTTAAAGGAAAGCCAACTAAACTAATCGATGTAAAACTGCCCAAGTTCGAAGTAGACTTCAAAGTTGATCTGAAGAAATCGATGCAGGGCCTGGGCGTTCACGATTTGTTCAGCAACGCGAATTTTCCAAATATAACCAATCACGGGGTAATGAAAGTGAATGTTATAGTACAAAACGTCGCAGTCGAAGTATCTGAACGTGGCGCCTTGTTTGCGTTTGCTGCAAGTTTGTATTTCGGATTGTAGCCTCCAACCTCCAACCAATTCAATGAAATATTTATATTTTACGTTCTAGGAGCACCCTCGCCAACTTCCAAATTTATAGTAGACCATCCATTTGTGTTTCTCATCCGCCGAGGCAACGATGTCTTTTTCGCAGGACGTGTCAACTTCGCCGATAATTAGGAGATTGTCGAAATAATATCGGGAACAGTTACTGAAGCTTTGCCTTTGCTCCTAGAACATTTCAGCAACTGTTTAACCTATCAACCCGAACAGCTGATCGATTATCTAGCTTTAGAGTTGTTGATTAAATCGGATTGATTTAGTGCGCGTTTATTTATATACTTTAGTCATCATGCCTAAACTGCTTGCGATAGGGATTCATTATTAATTAACCGTACTCTAATTTCTTCTCTATCAATAATAATCGATAATTAGACAACATTAATTAGGCGTGCAGCTGCCACTCCTTTAGTCATCATGCCTAAAATGCTGATAAGAATTCTTTATTACTTAATATGGTCTCGTGTATACCAACGCAGAACGAATTTACTTCCTTTTCTATCGATGATAATCGATAATTTGACAATATTTAATAAGCATGCAGCGAGCATGCTTGGTTAAACTGGAAATTAAAAATATTTATTTTGTATATAAATAGTAAATATATCAGACAGAGTAAGATAGAAGCAGAGAGAGAGAGAGAGAGAGTGAGAGTGAGCGAATCAGTTGAGCTGGTGCTATGAATGATTCTCCCATTGTTTACAGTAAAGAGCGGGCGCTTCGAATTGCCCAGCTGGCCAGACACACCTCTGTCCACAATAATATGCCCGGAAATTCCTTTCAAGCAGAGCTCAGCGTTAGGTCCTTTTGTATCCTTTTGCGCTAGAGCCAAATGAAACGAGCCTGTGGCACATTTACTTCATTTCGCTGCTTCGCTTGCTTATTATTATTTCTGTTATTTTTCTGCGCTTTACTTTTATGATGATTATTATTATTTTGTTTTTTGTCTTTTTTTTTTGCGCTCCCTCTCTCTCTTAGTCTTTGCTTGCATAATTATTATTTTTGCTGTCTCCGCGCTTTCATTCATATCTCATGAAAGGTCGAGGCAGCTGCTCGCGCTGGTTTGCTGTTTAAAAATTTTCATTTTGCCAGCTGTTGAGTGATGAACAAACTAATTGCTTTTATTTTTTCACATTTTATACACATCTGTGTGTGTGTGTGTGTGTGTGTGCGTGTGAGTGCGCGTGTATCTGTGCGAAAATATTTTTGCAAGCATTTCGCTGGGGCGGCCAACAACTTCATTAACGTAAGGTAAACAAACATTAAGAGGGACTCCCAAGGAGTTGGCTCGAATGGGAGATAGGAGCAGTCGAAGCCAACAGCAGACGCAGCCAGACAAATAAAGACAAACGGAAGCCAGTCCGGGCCCGGCTGGCAACGCAGCAAAAGTCAGAGCAGAGCAGAGCCTGATGAGCTGCCAGCTAAGTGTGTATGAGTGTGTGTGTGTGTGTAAGTCTGACTGTATATCTGTCTGTGTGAGTGTGTGTGCTGTGGCAGGCACTTGGACTGAGCACTCAGCAATTTACGACGCAAAAAGCCAACGGCGCGCGCGTTGATTATGCTGATGATGCAGTTGGAGCCGGAGCTGCCGCTGCCGCTGCCGCTGCTGTGGCCAGGACATTTGGGTGCGCTAGGTCCTGGCTGGCAGCAGCTACCCTCAACTCAACTGCCAGCTGCACTTGCTGCCTGCCACTTTTCACACTCGATCTGGCTGGCATTCGCATTCGCATTCGTATTCACATTCGCATTCGCATTTGTGTTTGTCTATTTGTTTATCACTTAAGTGCAAAAAAGGATTCGGGATGCAGGATTGCAGCAATCAGACGCTCTTCCGTTTTCTAAATGTTTCTGCTGCTGCTGCCACTGCTGCTATTTATTTGTGCTCGCTTTTAAATGAATTAATTCCAAAGCAGCCTCCCGTCTCGGCTTGCCTCACTCCATCCTGTCGTCCCCACGTTGGCCACATTCTATTTGGCCACGACATTTTCGGCATATTTCTGTGCAGCACGCTGAGACTTGTTGATTATCGAACATTTCGGGCGGGCAGGTGAATGCAATTTATTTAATTTGTGACAAAGCCCGAAAGGCTTTTAATTAAAGAGCTTAAAAGGTATTAAATAGAAGAGCTAGTTTTGTACAATAGGAAAAGGCTGCCACTTAAGTTAAATATTAAGCTGGATAATCTGCTTAATTTAATACAATTTTTTTTTATTTTTAAATGTGTTTAAGCTTTGACTTAAATCCAAAATCAAATTTCTAAAGTATTTGTATTTAAGTTTAAGTTTAAGAAAGAGTAAAGTTTTTTTAGTCAACGACCTATCGAGACCTATCGCAAGTCTTATAAGGGCATATAATATAGTAAGTTAACTTCAGTTCTTCTTCTAAGAACTGTTCGCCCAGCAATATTTTTACTCAATGCCAACGAAATAATATTTCATTTTAGTTTGTATAATTTTGCTAGTCTTAAATTCAATTTTTGCTTTTGTTCAGCTCGACTTGTGGAACTGACCCTTTGCGGGTGATATAAATTTTTTCCGTTTCGAGTTAATCCTCGACTTTTTGCAGCGCACAAAGGAATTGTCCATAAACTAATCCACATAAATTCACAGGCAGCTTCATTTTGAAATTTAAGCCAAGCATTTTATTTCTTTTGTTATTTCAGCTTAGTCTATTTTCCTTTTTTTTTTTTTTTTAGAGTCCTTTTGCCATTTTTCTATGTCACTTGCATAATTTACATTCTAATTCCACCGGCTTTTCGCTCCCTATCTCTCTCTCTCTCTCTCTCCATCGTTCTCCCTCGCTCTGACAATGCCAGCTCGTTCTATCTCGCTTTCAATCATTCTCTGTTTCTGTTAAGTTTGGAACAATTCATCTTGCTTATAATGCGAGCGAAGCTCCTACTTGCCCGGGCATTATTATAACGAGGGGCGCCCTAGACCCGAAAATGATAGTCCCAAAACTATGCAGCACTATCAAATTACGGCAGAGCGAGAGGGAGAGAGGAAGCGGGAATGGGAGTGGGAGTGAGTCAAGATGCTGTTGCTTTAATGTGGCACAAAAGTTGGCTACAATAACGTCTTTAAGTAACAAAAGCAGACAAGCGAATGGGGAATATGCAATAAAATACAAGAAGACACAAGCGTATACATGTATAAGAGTGTATGTGTGAGGGAAAAGCGCGCTCGAAAAAAATATATAAAAGCTGAAGTGTAGTGAAAAGTGACAGTGGAAGAGCGAGCAACAGGGAGACAGACAATAATTTACGTAACAGCACGAAAAAAAGGAAGGAAAAGGGAAGTTGAACAGAACACAAGCACCAGTCAGACATGGGCGTACAGCAAAGGGGGGGCGTGGCGTACACATGATGATTTGTAGCAACTATGCTTTGCTTTTGCCTGCCTCATCAGCAACAACAACAGCAGCAGCAGCTGAAGAGCCACCAGCTTGCTCTCTGTTTTTCGGGCATATTTGTGGATCTGTCTGGCTGAGTCGAGTGTTTTCCATGTAAAGCGTTCGTTGCCATCTAAATGTTGATTTAAACGCTGAAGTAGTTTTGCGGCCAGCTTTAATATGCAATCAGCAATTCGAAGTAAGCTCAGCGCATAAATCAAACCGAATTTGATTGCAGTTCTTGCTGAATTTACTGCTTTACTGCGCCTCACTCGGGCTCAATTAAAAACCTGCTCGAGGCAGGTTAGCGAAATATTACTGCCTGGGGCGGCAGCTGCTCCACTTGCCACATAACTTTCAACTGGCGGCGCGTGGAGCACATTTTAATGAGTTTACAAACGCTTGACACATTCGCGGCTACATAAAAATAAGGCAGTTTATACGCACGGCCCACGCTGCGTATGCTTTATATATACATATTTATATGTGTGTGTATGTACATTACATGTACATCTTTTTTTATGTACGTAGCTCGCTTATTAACTGTGTAGGAAGTGCGGCAGGCTGTTAGCTGCTTTGAGAGCCGTTTAATGAACGACTTAACAGTTGGCAGCAAGTCAAGTAGTCATGCGAGTTGGTAGTAAAGAAAAAGATGGCCGACATACCAAGGCGCATATGTATGAAGAGCAGCTTGGCATAATGTTTGATTTATGGACAGCTTGTGGGGCAGAGAGGCTGCCTGAATCAGCAGCAGTTAGCCAAGACAAGTTAATATAGTAATATCATGGATGTAAGTAAGAGAAGGAACGCCTAACTAGCCCATGCTCTATGAGAGTCTTAGAAGAGGAACTCATAGTTTTCGCAATGTAAAAAGATTTCATAAGAGAGAGATTACATATAGAATATATGTATATAAGAATATGTAGTTGAGGATATTTAAAAGAATATATATAAATATATACGGGTATACATAGCAGATAATACGGGAAACGTTGAAGTGAGTATATATGTAGGATAGCATAAATATAGTGGAATACATACATATTTGAGGATAAATAGAAGAAGAAAATAAACATAAGCCATGATCATGTAGAGCAAGGAATATATATTTAAACTGATATAAATTAATAAAGCACTAAATACAGGAGAAGACTTACAGCTAAATATAAGACATATAACTATACTATACTACTACTTACTATAGAGGAGTCCATATAGGAGACATGTAATATAGAAACCTACCCAATAATCTGTTAGTTTTGAAAAATTGAAACTCTTTCAAAAGTTGTATAATCACTGATTTCATTTAATAATAAAATATATAAAATAAACAAAATAAATAAATGGCAAATTTCCACACATGTAGAACTCTCTGTAAAGCTGTTCACTACATTCTTTATAAACGTATTTAGTTTCTAAAATTGATGATGTCCACTTTTTCAATCTCTAATTTCATTTTTCATTAGCTAATTATATACTATGCATACACATATATATACATATACCTGTTGCTATCAACACAGCAACGTCTGCTCTCTCCCACTCGCTGCCGCTCTCTCTCTCTCTCTCTCTCTCCTCTGTCTCTCTTCCTCTCTCTGTTCTATACCAGTTGATGGCTGACAGGTAAACAATTTTGCTGACTGGATCGATTTCAGGCTCAATTAAAAACATTTACACGCCACATTTTACCGACTTTAAATTTAAGTAATATTATAAAACACACACACACACACACACTTTTTATCTTTATCTACACTTTCTCTGTCTATCTGTTGTCCTCCCTCTTTCTCTCTCTCTCTCTCTCTCTCTCTCTCTCTCAATTACAAAATGTAACAACATGAAAACGAAATGGCTCCCAAATGAAATGTTGTAAATTTATGGGTATTTTAAATTAAAACGGAAGCGTGTTTTCAACGCGCGACTACACACAGTTCAACACACACACATACACACACATACATACATATACACAGTCAATATATTTTATAGCCGCATTGTTGCCCCTTGACTCCTGCTTCCTCCGCGCAATTCAAAGACGCACGTAGCACACGGCAGAGCTGCTGCTGCTGCTGCTCTTGTTATTATTATTGTTGCTGTTGTTGTTGTTGTTGGTGTCAAATCAGTTTCAATGCTCGCTGGCAGCACGCACCAAACAACAACAACAACAGGAACAACAATACCAAAGCACAGCCAATTCTCAGCAATTCGCGTGGCTCCAGTCATTAAAGACATAAATAAATTTATGTGACTTTCGGCGCAGTTGCTTTGCCGTCTTCTGGGAGTCCCCGAAAAAAGCAAAACGCCAGAAAAGAAAATTTAATTTCAGCTCACCGGAAAATAAAGGCGACCCGAAATAGAAGTAGCAAAAGAGTGAGCAACACATATAGATTACATTGTCTGGCTTAGTCTCCACTGTGCGTATTATATATATATAGATATGTACATAGATATGTATATATATTCTTTTTTTTTTTTTTTGCTCACATTTTTATTTGTTCGCTCGTTGCCATTGTAACGGATCTGGTTGCCATTTTTTTTTTTTTTCATTAGAAAGGATGACGCTGCCGGAGGCTGCTGCCTTTCCATGTTATTTATATAAAATTTTTAATAACAAATGTTGCGCAGGCAGCTAATGAGCTTAGCTTTAGCCAGAGGAGAGGAGGAGGCGGAGTAGCCGTTGACGAAGCCGTAGGCTAGTGCTGCGTTGACCCACGGGTCGTATGCATGATTAAAGTGGAACTCAAATAGAATAATATATTATTGAAACGAGCGGATATATAGTGGGTGGATTAAATTTTAAATATTACGAATTTTTGGCATTTTATGAATTTGTATTAAAAAAAAAAAAAAAAATTTAATATACATACTACTGAAGTACATGTTAAATATATAATATACGAATATATATTAGGAATTTCGTTCAGTAATTTTTAGACAGCAAAAGCGTAGCATAGATAGTCAAGTAAAATTCCTGAGAATAGCTTCTACATAATATACATATAATACATTTAAGCGAAAGAAAATAATTTTTATTTTTGAGCTGAAAGCATATTAAGCTACAGCTATGTTTTACAGTATTAAATTATAATAATTAAATA